CATTCACAAATAAAAAAGGTTCGCAATATGTATGCTGTCTCTTATACACATCTAGATGTGTATAAGAGACAGCTACAGTGATCCGATAGCGGAGGTTCAGACAAATGAGCAGCTTCTTAGGGAGAAAAGGGCGTGTGCAAAATTTCAAGGAATAAGTTAGTACATATGTACATAGATGTGTATAAGAGACAGGTACATACATATGTAAATATAAAAATATTTTTTTTTCATAAATAAAAAGATTTTTTAGCTAAAATAAAATGTTTTATAATACATACATACATGTGCTAAAGTAAGTAAAAATACTTTCCCTTATATATGTATGTACATACTTTTGTATATGGTAAAGCTAGCAACAAATACTTTACATCAAAAACATTACATTAAATGAAAGAATTAAATGGAAAGAATTTTTATGAAAAATATCAATAAAAAATGTAAAACAAGAGATATATTTATTTTTAAAAAAATCAGAGTTGAAAACAAAATATTTTATTATTAAAGTAAAAATCTTCTCTCATATATATACATATATATAGTGTAAAGCTAAATACATATACACACTGTCTCTTATACACATCTAGATGTGTATAAGAGACAGCTCTTCTGTACATGGGAAAAGAAACCAAAAAACGTTGTTTATCATATATATACATATATATAGTGTAAAGCTAAATACATATACACATCTATGTACATATATAAACTTCTGCGCGAATTTTAATTAAATTTCAATAATTTTCATCAACATACCGATTGTCTACCTTTTTTTCATACACACATATAAAATTGTATACATACATACTTATGTACATATATGGTGGTCCGTGTGTACAGAGTTGTTGTTTACTTGGAGCCGGGTGAATTTGATCGCTTAAAGTGCAATTGACTTCAATTGAGTTCAATTTAGCAGCGATTACTGTTTGTTGTTGTTCTGTTAGTGGCTTTTATCAAGCAATTAAAGCGGCCAAGACGTGTTGGAAGGCTCCAGAAAAAATAAGTTGGGACAAAAGAGAGGAAAAACATGCGTAGATTGTACATACATACATACATATATTAAAATATTCGAAGAATTGAAGAAATACCCAGCATTAAGGCAGAGAACAAAATCGTAAAACGGAATAAGTAGCCGAAGAAATAATATTGCATTAATATCATAAATACAAAATAATTTATAAAAAAATTAAATGTGGAGTTTAGAACATTTACAAAAAATAAAAATAATTATTTAAAGGGCAATAAGAAAATAATTTACTCCAAAATAGTAAAAATATATTTAGTTAAACTTAAAATAAATAAATAGAAAATTGAAATAATTTAATTCAAAGAAAAAAA